AAATTCCGTAAAAAAAAAAAAAAAAAAAAAAAAAAACGAGACCGACGACTATATGGACGAGGATAATTAATGAAAGTGTATAATATGAAACGTTAGTGCGGATGAGGGTTTCGACGGAACATACCAAACAAACGTGGTGGTCGGTAATAACGGCAGTTGCTTGTACGTCCCACCGGGCATCTTCAAGAGCACATGCAAGATAGACATCACTTGGTTCCCCTTTGACGACCAACACTGTGACATGAAGTTCGGATCCTGGACCTACGACGGCAACCAGGTACACTGCTGTACCACGTACACACCGACACACGCTCAGTACACACCGAGAGCACCAAAAAAAAAAAAAAAAGATTATTATCGATCCCTACTTCCGAATGAGCTATACGCGCTTTTTATTCGGGCGAACCAGGAAGCGGAGGGTGAAAAGGGGGCGAGGGACCGCGAAATGTGGCTGTGCTAAATGCGACCCGATGTAACCGCGCGAAATACATGAGGGATCGTATTTTCGCGATTACGTTTTCTCTGCCGGGAAAATGTTCAGCGTGAACATTTTTATTTTATTGACCGCGTCATAAACGATGCTAATGTATGGTAAAAAAAAAAAAAAAAAAAAATACGGTTCGAAAATTCTTTTCCTCATTTTATCGGTTGCAGATTTTCCGAATAGCTTTTGAATATAACGAGTTAATTTCGCAGTGTCGTTATTGAGAGCGGAAACATTTATTATTTTTATGTTATGCAGCGAGATAATTTTCACACACGACGCAGTGTTATATCAGTAATTTACAAATTATTATTACGCGCACACATTCGTATTTTTACACAATTCAATGTTTTTTCACGCTTTTACCACGACTTAATAATCTGTCGCATTTTTCTCTCGCCCGCGCTCAAATTTATGAAATCCGCAACATAATTTTTTAATTAAAGCTCGTTATATCTCGCACATATAGATATTTTTTAAAATAATTCTTCTAACGATGCATATTTAAAAATTAATACGTAATTGCGAAAGTCTAATTTTTCCATTGTGTCGATAAAAAAAAAACGTGCCTCGATTACGACTCCGGCCCCGGTTAATTACCGTCCAATTGCCAATTAGGGAAGGCGCGCCCCTCGTGTGCACTCCGTTCTAACAAGCTCCACTTTCCCGAATTTTCACGCGGAAAACCGCCGATGATTATCCCTCCCCTCGATTCGGCCTCTCCGCGAAAATAAAGAAAAAAAAAAAAGTCAAAGATCTCTCTCGCCCGCGCTTAAATCGACGTCGCAAATGAAGCCACTTTCGGTGTCCGTTCGCCATCAGGGACCCGCTTCCCCCACTTCTCCGTCCTCAGAACCGAGACCAGAAAAAATCCCCATCCCGCGCCCGTGTTTGACGGGCATCTCTATCTATCTATCTATCTATCTATCTATCTCTCTCTTTCTCTCACGGCTTCTTCTGTCCGACACAACACTCACAAGTGCAACGTACAATAGCGATGCTCCATAGATAGCCGTTCTCACGCTTCGTAGCTTCAGCTCGGATCTATATACATTACATAGGCATATATATATATATTTATAATCTATAGCATTACATGTGTTACACACGTACGATACACGTACCACACGCACCGACGTATGTGTGAGCTAGATCGAGCGTCGCGGGAAAAAAAAAAAAAAAAAGATAGGAAGGTGTCAGGATTATTACCCAGCACTCCGGAAGAAGATCCTCGCAATTATCATTCTTCGTCGTGATTCCACGTTTGTTCGCTTGTGTTTGTAGCTTTTTGGCTCTTCCTTCCTTCCCCGAGAGATTCTCGAAATTAGGCTCACCGTTTCCGGAATGTTTACTCGCGTGTCGCGAGGAGGACAAATTTCCGGATCAGGTGAGATCCGGATTTTTGTTCTCCGTTCTCCTGCGTATAATAAATTTTGAACGTTCGTCGAGCGAATTAGATTGGCGAAGCTTTGCGCGCGTTGAAGTTAGGCGCTTGTTCTGTAAATTGTACAATGTTGCCGGAAATCGATTACCACGCGGAAATATGCTGATAGCCGAAATCGTCGAATTCGATTTTGCCCTGTTCAATTATTTCGAAATTGCGGGCAACTTGAGGTGATCGCCATTAATGGAGACGATCTCCATGCGCCATTACCGAAAACCTATTTCCATGTGGCGAACAGGTGACGGTAATTGTTTCCTATAATGTTAGAATGCTCGTGCGTCTGTGTGTCGTGACACACCCCCCTGTTCGATCGCATCTGTATTTCGTTACATCTCTTCTCGTTCGCGTGAAATGATGCCCGTTTAATGCCCGTTTTCTCTTACCTTTGATTACGTTTTAAATTTCGTTTTAAAATGTACTTACGTTGCGGCAAATTGCAACGCATTAACGCCACGTTTACGCAACATATAAAGGAATCATAAAACAAAAGATAATTCATACGCACACATAACCGCGGAGAAAGGTAGTTTATCACGTGGATCGTTGGATTTTGTGCAACTTAAGTGCAATTTTAACAATACGCGGACTTTAACGGCGCAATTTAACGGTTCAACTCCATTTGATTATAATCAAATAACGGCAACCGCAGTTAATGGAACGATCTTTCTCTCTCTCCCTCTCTCTCTCTCGTAGATCAAGTCGGTGATATTTCGACTATCGTATGTGCGTTGTTGTCAACAAACGGAACGCACCATTGTTTTCTCTGAGAGTCAGCAATTTGCGAGATAGTACTTTTACAAATCTCGCGTTACACGCTAATTACCCTTAATTGTCTTTTTCATGATGTTCTTCCCACAATAATTACGACATTTGCACTTAAACGTTTTCCTTCCTCTCCCCTCCTTCCTTCCCCCCCCCTCGCGGCCTTCTCCAGAGAAAATTACATCTCGCAGCGTGAAGGAGACGTTCCTCTTTGTCACAACTTAATGACTCTCACGCGCGCACAAGTTCTTCCATTAATTATCAAATTATCAATTAAGGTTCTGTGCAATTTTGAATATGAGTTTTCCGGAACTATTGCGCGCGCAATTTCGGGGCTGCGCGCGTATAAAGTTTCCTAATCTCCCTTTAAATTCAAATTGAGCCGCGGCGATCCGCCAAAGCGAGTATCATTTGAAATTCCGTGCTCGTTTAACTGATTTTTTTTTCTTTTCTTTTTTTTTTTTTTTTTTTTTTGCATATTGACATATCGAATTTGCATTATTATAGAACGTAACGCGCTAGCAACGCGCCTCGCAGAGCCCACGATAACTCGCGCGAGTTGAGTCTTCGCCTGAAGAGCTAACCGTAAAATCGACGTAATCTCTCACTCTTAATTGTGAGCGATAAATTTTCGTCTTTCCGACACACGCGGCAACCGGTATATTCCCCCGTCGTGACGCGCGGCCAAAACTCGCGCGCGACGTCGAGTTTGCCGAGCTCGTTCCCCGAGCGCGCAGTTTGCGGGACCGCGCGTATATAAACGCGCCAAATGTTAAATTCATTTTACTTACGACCCGGCCTCGACACTTCCGTCGCCGCGCGTCCGTGACAGCTTTCGTTCCGACCCCCCCGGAGAATCGCGGAGAATCTCCGATTCTCTTTGTCCAAGTTGGAAGCACACGCCAGTTTTGTTGATTAATTTCTCTGACGTAATAAACGAAATTTGACCAAAGAGATAGAAATAAAAATCAATCACCCGTCTCGCAATATGTGGGCAGCAGTTTTGCGCGAAAGCGTTTTTTTTTTTTTTTTTTTTTTTTTTGACGACGTTTGTATTTCCGACAAGTTCGCGCGATCTCAGTCGCGATTGAATCGACTAATTCGAAACGACTCATCACGACGCAAAGTGAATCACGTCACGCAATTCGCAATACCGATCCATAAAAAACAAAAACTGCGAAAACGACAAACAAGTGATTTTCCGTGCTGTGACACCACGCCCGTAAAACAGTACATCGCATCCCGTAAAGCTCTGGCGAATGTCCAATAACGGACGAATAACGCACTTATCGCGCCGAAATATGAACAAGTGTCAGATACAAAATTTTTAACGAATCACCATCGCCAGAACTCCATCGTCAGGGCTATTACTAGCAACGTTATTAGTCGTTACATTTTTCATCGGGATCGTGATCGATCAAAAGTCAAAGCGGATCAAAATCAACGAACGGTTTATTTTACACGCGCAGTTTCTATTGATTTTTTTCTTTTTTTACACGATCAAACAAATATATTTTTTGAAAAAAATATCAAAAACCTTGGGAATTGTCGCGCAAAATCAATAACAATTTTAGCATTCCGTGTGTTTGTTATATATATTTTTTTGACGTTATATTTTTTTATTTCTCTGTCTCTGTCTCTCTCTCTTTCTTCGGTCTCATCTCGGTGCGCGTGCGCGCGCGCGTGTTCGTTATTGACTTTAATATAATAATATCAGAATCATTAAGCGCGCACGTGGCGGCTTCATCGCACGCTTTGATGATAAATAAGGTGGTGGCTGCTTTAGCATTCTCATAAATTGCGCGTCGAACTATTTCCTCGCTTGTCACTGCCGATAAATTTATAAACACTCCCGTCATTCTTCTTTGTTCTCCTCCGCGCTTTAATACGGCTAACGTCGATAAGACTAAAAAACTGGCATTGCTTTTCAGCGGGAACGCTCCGGCTATCTTCCGAGCAATAAATAATCTATCTATCTATCTCTCTCTCTCTCTCTCTCTCTAATACTTCTCTCTCCCTTCCCTTCACTCTTCTTTTTATCCGCGCAAACGTGCGGTCTCCATCGATTTCCAGTTCCGAAAGCAATAAATCCGGTCATTATTTGTCTAAAGCGCGTTTCTCATTGTCATTTTACGTAACACATCTCGTTCATTCAAGTTTTTTAATCGAGAAAAATATCTCGCGCGGTTTTTCCTCTCGCGAAAAAGATAGTACTTGACTTTGTTTTCTTATTTAACACGATACGCGCGCGCGTTTTTCTCTTTTTGCGGGAGCGATCGAACAGTTTAGTACAGTTCGCGCGCATCTAACGCGCTCACGTAAATGTGTGTACGTGTTGTTTTGGTTCTTCGATATAAATTCTGACAAAACACGTATAACGAATAAATCATTCGTACAGTAAACGCGCGACACGAGCGCGTTTCTCTCACGTATAAATAAATCGATCGATGTGCTCGTCGCGCGTGTCGCGGTTCGTCGAACTCTTCTCTCGCATAGTTACAGTCGTGAGACGACGAGCTCGATAATAATGGAATCTTAATGAGGGATCAATGTCTTTCGTATCTCTCATCGTTGATCGGCGCCGGCC